ATTTATTTCACCTTTTTTTAAAAGTCTTTATTTCACTTGACACTGTTAATCCTACTCCCTACTGTACAGTGGATGCTTTGCCTCGCTTAACTATTCCCATAATGCACTATACTTATCCCAATATAATACACTATACTTATTCCATTTATAGGAATTTTTGTTTTTGTTTTGGTACTGGGGACTGAACCCAGAGTTGCTTTATGATTGAGCTACATCTCCAGTCATTTTTATTTTATTTTTGAGGCAGGGTCTCCATAAGTTTCCCAGGCTGACTTCGAACTTGTGATCCCTTCCTCAATCTCCAGACTCACCGGGATTACAGGCATGTGCCACTGCACGGGAGAGGAATTTTCACTTTAATTAATGTACACACTGCCTTTTTGTCTATTTCTTCCAACTAGAATGAAAAGTTGTCATTTTATACCTTATAAAGCACATGTTCAATAAGTGTTTGTTAAAAGTTTCTGTATGATTTGAAAGGGGATATGTACCATCTAGTTGACAGGAAAGTAAAAGAGGCTGTACTCAGAAGGGAGAAAAGGAAGTGAGATGCAGGTAGAAAGTCCTGATGGTGAGCTGTGTCCATTGGGTGGGTAGTGAAACCCTATGGGAATGGTTAACCATCTCAGTAGGGCAAAGGGAACAGACAGAGACTAGTGTGAGAAACTATGCAAGAGCAGTAAGAAGGTAACCATCCTTCTCTATTTAGGGGAATTCCACATTGACATAGGGAAATATTACCTAAATGTCTTTCTCTAGTGACTCAGTTGTTTAGCTATCTCTTGTGGGTGGGACAAATAGGAGTGGCATGGAACTTTTGAAGGGGAAGTTGGAAGGCAAATATTATTGTGAAAGTCATAACTGAATCGTCTAGTAGGCTTGCTGCTGAAAGAAAGAAAACCCCCCAAATATACATCTATATGCATGCAGAGGCTTAAAAAAATGGAAGTTCATTTCTTCTTCATGGTATAGTCTCAAGGTAAAAAGCATGGGTCTCATGCAGACACTCAAGGACTCAGATTCTCTCCATTTTCTACTTCATTGTTCCCTAAAATGACCTCATAGTCAAAGTTGGGTTGTATCCACACTCAATGTTCCAACCCATAGAAAAGAAAACGGAGGAACTCCAACTCAAATGACTTCCATTACAAGGCAGAGATGACCCAGAAAGTACACACTATGTCACGTTATACATTACTCCAACTTACACCCCACAGTCATATCCAGCTGTGAAAGGTGTTAAAGATATCATTTCTAGCTGAGTGGTCATGTATCTCATTTTATCTCTATTTCTATGGAAAAAAGAAGGTATCCATTTTGGAGGAGAAGTAGAAGTATTCACCCTATTCAAACAAACAAACAAATATTGTGTTCTTAGTTGACTTGAAATTCTTAGGGCTGTCCAATTATGCATGTGCAGTACACAAGCCAAGGATAATACAGGGAAATTAAAGCTGAATGCATTCCATTTGGAGAACCGTCCTTTATTATGAAATAATATTCCTATTTTTATATTAAAATATATTTAATGAGGTGGGGATGATGATTTTTTTAAGTAAAGTAGAATGTTTTTTTAATTTTTTAAGTAAAATAGAAATTACATTAGTATATCCAGAAGGTAACCATTCTTAAAATCCTTAACTGGGAGCCAACACTTCATTTGACAACCAAACACAAAGGGTCAGCAGAGGGGCCAGTAGATAAAACTGTTACTATACCTACTCCTCCTTCAACATTAAAGGTGGCTTCCCACCCTCAGAGTAAGTTTCTTAAACTCTCTTCACCTGACACAGCATCTCCCTGTCCATAGTTGGATAGGTCCCTCCACCACTAGATATCCATGGTGTACTTGGTCCCGGTATAGCATTCATCATACTGCAAAAGTTCATATTTCTCTCCTCCTGCTTGAATATGAGCATGTCAAGAATAAGTACCATGAACTCATTAAAAGTATTATCTCTTTCCAATATGAAAATATCTTTACTAGTTTGCTAGGGCCACCAAAACAAAATACTAAAGGTGGGTGGCTTAAACAACGGAAATTTATTTTCTCACTGATTTAGAGGTTAGAAATCTAAGGTATCAGTACACTTGGTTTCTTACGCCTTTCTCCTTTGCTTGCTGATGACTATCTTCTCACTGTGTCCTTGTGTAGCCTTTCCTCTGTGTTCTGTGTCCTTTGTCCCTTGGTATGTACAAACTTCCTCTTCTTACAAGGATATCCACTAGTCATATTGGATTAGGATGCACCCCAAACAGCCTCATTTTAACTTAATCATGTCTTTAAAGACCATTTCTCCAAATACAGTCATATTCTGATGCATTGGAGGTTAGAGCGTCAACACCTGAATTCTAGAGGCATACATTTTAGCTCATAACAACATCTTCATTATTTTTTGCTAATTATAAAATTAAACTATATTTTCAAAAGCAAATTATACAGAAGTGTGTAAGTAGAAGATCTAGAAACGTAGCTTTCACTGCTTACCTAGCATGTGCAAGGCAACCCTGGGTTCAGTCTCTAGCAATGCATAACACACATACTTTCATGTGCACATGCACACACACACACACACACACACAAGCTTTGTGAAGAAATTTAAAGTCTCCTATCATCTTACCCCCTCCCCAAAGCAATGGTTCCCAACCAGTAGGACTGATCAATGTTTCTTGAATGAATGAATGAACAAATGAATGAGCAGTTGTGTGGTCCTGACATTATAGCTGAAGAAATGAGACACCAAGAGGCTGCACAACTTTTTAAGATTATTAAACCAAGTAATAAAAAGAGAACCATAATCCAGTTCTGCCAATTTCCTATCCAATTTTCCTTCTAGAATCCTATACTACATCCTTACTTATGTTTATTTTCAACTTTGAATACTTATGGCCTCATTTCTTTTCTTCTTCTTCTTCTTCTTCTTCTTCTTCCTCTTCCTCCTCCTCCTCCTCCTCCTCCTCCTCCTCCTCTTCTTCTTCTTCTTCTTCCTCTTTTTTTTCCGTACTAGGGATTGAAATCAGGGGCACTCAACCACTGAGCTACATCCCCAGCCCTATTTTGTATTTTATTTAGAGACAAGGTATTACTGAGTTGCTTAGCGCCTCACCATTGCTGAGGCTGGCTTTGAACTCGCAATCCTTCTGTTTTAGCCTCCCAAGCTGCTGGGATTACAGGCATGTACCACCACGGCCAACATTTTTAATGTTAAAGGAAGTAAGCTGAATATTACTTCCTTAAAAGTTATCAAACCTGATTAAGTTGCTTTTCACTTATATTTGTCCTTGCCTTGGACTCTTTATACTACAAAAACAAATATTCACTCAAATTAGTTTTCAGGCATGAATAGCAAACATTGTCAAAACTTCATGTTTTAAGAACAGTAACTACTTACTTTCTTGATTCTGTTGGCTGACCATCTAGGAGTGATTCCTGATGGTCTTTCCTATATTCACTCATGTGGATACACTGAGTGAGCTATCAGATTACAGCTCACCTGAGGCCAAAGGACCTAGGTAGGACTCACTTATGTGCCTGCAGATGGGTGCTAGCTCTGCACTGGGGCACCTCTGCTCTTCCCCAGGTGCTCGGCCATCCTGTGGTGTTTCACATCAGACTTTGCATCATCATGACCTCAGGGTTCCAAAGAGGCAAGTAGAAGCTTCAAGGTCTCCTAGGCCTACACTCTAGAACTAGCATAATGTCACCTCTGTAACATTCTGTTCATCAAAGTCAGACACAAATTCAATTGAGATCCAAAGGGGGCAAACAAATAACTTCTGCCCGCTTATTATTTCCCCAAATTGTATTGCTTCTTTACTACACTACTTCTTTAAAGATGTTATTGCTTTATACATGTAAAATAGCCACATTAGCATTGATTATAATAATTTCCCTAGTGACAAAAAGCAAATTCCTTTTTTTTTAATTATGGAAGGACCTAAATATTCCCCAACTATAAAAGTCTAACGCTAAATACACTTCATTCTATAGTCTCCAAGTATGTTTACACAAGTAAATACACACAAAATCACTCTCCATCTACAAAAGCACTTCTTACCATCAGGGCTTCATATGTGTATTTATTTTTTTTTTAAATAGCAGTGTGTATTTATATTTTTCAATTAAACTTTTCAAATGGGAATAATTTCAAGTAGTATTGTTCTCTCAACCCACTACTTATGACACTAAAAGTGAATTCCCTAAGCAATTTTATAGTAAAACGAATCCTAAGAAGCTTTGACATGCTCATAGCAAACATCAAATAAAAGATAAATTTGTTACTCTCTTTATGAGATCTCTTTTGAATAGTGGCCCTTTAAAATCCCGTAGTATATTTTATAGATTCTCTTTACTTCCCTGAGAATTATCAGAATCAAGGACTCGGGTAAATACTTTGAGGGCAGATTGTAGTTAATATATAAAAGGTTGCAAGAACCACACAGAACAGACTTCCAGAAATGGAGAGGGTTTTAAACTTCTAAGATCTGAGAGAAGGTTTTGATATTGGGTCAATGAAGTGAAGGTGTTGTCCAGTTCTACATGTGTGTAGAGGAGGATATTGTTGCAGGGTCTGAGAGGGAAATTAATATTTTTGAGCATGTTCTTTGTGTCAGGCACTTGGCATACATTCTCATTTAATCATTACAAGACCCCTCCAAAGTAAGATTTATTATCCACATTCCATAAATGGGAAAATAAAGACTATAGAGAGATTCCAGTCCACAACTACTGCTGAGTAGTACTGAAATTCCAACCATATTTCTCTGGCCTCAAAGTCTCAACATAAGAGAGCATGTTATAATGTCACAAGACATAAATCACTCTAATTAAATGTAAGCCATCCTGGGTATTATCCTTCAAACACAGTGATCTGCTTAGAGATTAAATTTTAAAGCAAAGCGAATTGAACAGGGGTCAGCCAATTGTGGCCCCAAACCCTTTTGTGGTATTGCCTAAGGCTGCTTTCAACAGAGGCAGGTAGTGACAAAGTCCACATGATCTGAAGAGTCCAAAATATTTATGACCTGACCCTGTACAGAAAAATGTGCTGACCTATGGTATAGAACCTTTCTTGATCCATATCCAGTGGTGTCCCAGGAAGAGAAATCTGAAGTCTGGCAGACACTGAAAAGAGGTATGTTTTATTTTTGCAAGGGGATCTGCTGACTTTGCCCTATCTTGGAAATAGAGTAGTATTTTATAAAATCAGTCAATTCACCTTATCCTGATCTCTTACTTATTAAGGAATTTCATCATAAATAGCATGGGCTAAGTACTGCAACAACTGAAAACATGTATGATGAAAACCATAGATAATATGGTTGCTATGAAACTTAACCATATTATAAATCAGTTATTTAATATTCTGGATTCAAAATCACCACAATTAGAGGCTGGTGTTGTGGCTCAGTGGTAGAGTGCTTGCCTAGCATGGGTGGGGCACTGGATTTGATCCTCAGCACCAAATAAAAATAAATAAATAAAATAAAGGTGTTGTATCCATCTACAACTAAAAAAAAATATTTTTTAAAAATCACCACAGTTAGGAATTTACTTTGTGTGGATCTCATATAGGCTTGATTATACCTGAGAGGCCTATAAAACCTGGTTTTTAAACTATACAAAAATAAAAAATTAAAACTCACATTGAACCAAAAAGACAGACAAATGAAAAATGTTTAATTGTAGAAATCAGATAACCAGTCTCTCAATCGACATCATTTTATTAGCATATTTCATTCATTAAGTGACTTCAAAGAATAAATGAACTTAATTGATGACAAAGGTTTACACACTTCTGATTAATTATATTTACACAGTGTTCTTTATTTGATTTTACACAAAACAGCAAAATAAGACAGAAAACACAAAAATCTGCATGGAATTTTTTAAACGAGCACTAGAAAGTGTGGAATAAAAGACAGTTTGTTCATCTGATTGGGCTGGACTTATTAACCACTTAAATTCCAAAGAAACATGGAAGTAGCAATTTGAGATGAATCACACACACACACACAAAAAAAAAAATAAAATAAAATAAGAAACAAAATTGTAAGTAGTTAATTATTAAAAAGACAAATATTGTGGGGTATTTTTTGTACTGGGGATTAAATTTAGGGGTATGCTACCACTGAGCTACATTCCCAGCAGCCTTGTTTATGTTTTAATTTTGAGATGGCCTCACCAAGTTGCCAAACCTGGCTTAAAACTTGCTATCCTCCTGCCTCAACCTCCCAAGTTGCTGTATTATAGACATGCGCCACCACTAAGGACACTGAAAATAATTTTTTAAGATAATAACTTTTGATGATGATGATGCTGATGATTATGTACTATATATTGAATTCAGGGGTGCTTTACCACTGAGCTTTTCTCCAGTTCTTTTCATTTATTTATTTATTTTTGAGACAGTGTCTCACTAAGTTGCTGGATCTGGCCTTGAACTTGAGCTCCTTCTGCTTCAGCCTACTGAGTTAATAATATTTAATAATTAATAAAGTCTAGCAGACACTGAAAAGAGGTATGTTTTATGGGATTAAGGTGTGTGCCATTGCTTCCATCTCAAAAGTAATAACTTTGTAAAAGTAAAGATTTTTTTTTTAATTTAAAAATATTGAGGACATGGCAATAATGAATACCCAATTTTAGTTTATTTTTTGTGTGAATATATATTTATATATTTACGTATATAAATGTTAAATATTAAATATATTTTTTAACTTTATGACAGTTTTAGATTTACAGAAAAATTACAAAGATCATTTAGAGCTGCCAATGTGCTCCTCAACCAGTTTTCCATACTATTATTGTCTTAAATTAAGATAAAACATTTGTTATAATTAATAAAACAATATATGTTTAACTGAAAGTCCATATCTAAATCAGATTTCCTTAGTTTTTACCTAATGCCCTTTCTAGATTAGCCTGAACTGTCCCCTCTTGAATCAATTAATTGTTGGCAATGGTAGTGGGGTACTGTGACTTGGTTAATTTGGGCCAACCCTGGCGAATCAACCATACATGCGCTAGGGGTAGAGTTGAATGACGTGGATAGGTCATTTTCTGATGCAAAGCTTACTAAGACAGAGCAAAAATAATTCAGTGAAACAGAAAAGTTTGCCTAATCCTGAATGCCAGAGATATTCATGACACCATCATTTTTTCACATTCCTTTTTTTTTTTTTTTTGGTACTGGGGATTGAACCCAGGGGTACTTTATCACTGAACTAGACCCCCTTTTTATTTTTTTTATTTTGAAGCAAGGTTGCTGAGAGCCTCACTAAATTACTGGCCTCAAACTTGCAATCCTCTTGCCTCAGACTCCTGAGTCGCTAGGATGACAGGCCTGTGCTACCACACCCAGCTTGTTTCACATTCCTAAAGGGGATTTCTGGAAACTTGAAATTCCCAAGATTCAGAAAAACAGAATGATTTACATGGTTTCTCTGCCTTGTCTCCATTCCATTGGTAGACATGTTGTTTTCTATACATAAGATCATGCTCTACTGTTACTTTTCTTTATTTTTCTCTTTTAAATTAAAAAAAATCACTTTTTTTAAGTTAAGAAAATGCATTTACATGATGAGAAATTTAAAACATATTGAAGTTGTGTATAGAAAGACTTCTTTCTCCTTCCTGTGCTCTCCAGGCACCCAGTTCTCCACTCCCCTTGACCACCGTTTCCATTCTCTTGTGTACCACTTCAGAGATAACCTGAGCCTTTATAAGAAAAGATGTATATATGTCCTTTCCCTCCATCTCATTTTACAACACTCTTTTGTACCTTGCTTTTGTTTTCCTTATACTATATCCTAGGAATCTTTCCATAGCCATAAAGAACCTACTATCTTTTTTTTTTTTTCAGAATTCATAATATTCTAATGAGGGACTTACTGTCATTTATTTTATTAGTCCTCCATTGATGGACATTTGAGTTATTTACAATTTTTTGATACTACAAACAAAGCTGTAATGAATAGCTGAAACAAATGTCATTTCACACATGTAGGAGGATGCCGGTAGAATAAATTACTGCCTTTTCCATCTTTCACCAAAATTTCATTTCCTCTCCAAGAACAAGTTTTGCACTGGGTAGGAGTACTCACTGAAACACTTTAACATCTTTCGTTTGTTTAATATAAAAGAATCGTTCCTGTTACAGACTGAAACCATTTCCAAATTATATATTCCACATACTAATTTATGCAGAAACTCTACGGCCTCACTAAGAACCATCCATCACTTTCTTAGACCTTTACTTGTGTTAACAGAACCAGCAGTTGGGGAACATGTAAAATAATAATACCATTGACTACATGTGAAACAAGCTGAGAACAATGCCAGGAAGATGTGATAAGCAAGGAGTTGCCTGGCCTTGCTCGGTAGCCTAGCAACTTACTCAGTGGCCTCAGAACCCTTTCAATTTGACTTGACATTTCAGCAGAGTCACTAGGCTCATGGCTATTCTGAGGAAGCTTGTATATGTCCAAGACTGTGTGCGCATTTCCTGTCAGAGGTCTTGAAATTGTAATCCCTGGGATATTTCAGCTGATTTCCATTAGCAGGGGTCAAGAAAGCCAAATGCATTCTTTTCTAGTTACCAGTCCAAAGCAGAAGCCAACTTACTCTGAGAAAGTTCTAAATAGTTAGACAATTGAATATGGATTATACCATCCCCCATGACTTAGCAATAAAAGCTCAGTCACGCCCCTCAGGATCTAGTGATGGCATCCACAATGGTAAAATCACAAAAATACCAACTAACATTTATTGAGCATCCACTGTTTGTCAAGCACTCTGCTAAGAGCTTTACAAGCCTCTTTAGATTTCAGAACAAATTTACAGCTAGGATCCAGAGGAAGCCTACCCCTTCCCCTTTCATGTCCCTCTACCAAAGTAAACTCTGATGGTGGGCCCTCTCATTTGTCCTAAGAGCTACTAAAATGAAAAATTTCTTGCAAGAGTGAACACAGCCAACTGGAACAGTATTTACACACCTTTTTTTTTTTTTTTACTGACCATGTTATATTCTTTACAGGGTAAAATTTTTATGAAGAGAGTGGAGAGCTCTGTAGAGGTGGTGTTCACCGGGTGGGGGTGGGGAGAATGCCATCAAGAAGAGGGCACTAAAGGGCAAAGTTGAAAGTTAAAGCTTAGTTCGATTCAGAGTAGTACCTGGAACGTAATCACAATATCACTGCTCTCTCAATTCTAAATTCCCTTATGACTTCATGAGAAAACAAAAGTCAGAATAGATTTTCCAACCCTGCAATATATTGATAATAATTAACTTTATTTAATGGTTTATTAAGTAGCAGCATGTTCAAGGACCAGTAACTTCTAATCAATGCATTAGAGAGTCCTCAGAAGTTGATTAAGGTGTTTACGAGTGTTGTTTGGGATTGGGCCTTTTAAAAATATCATCAGCTCTAAGACCAGTTTCATAGAGATTTGCTTTTCAAATGATTTTTTTTTTTTTTTTTTTTTTTAGGTTTGGTTCTGGGTCTTTAAGCACAGAACAAGAGTTCTTTCACAGAGGCATTATTTACCGAGTCCTAAAACCACTCGGACTGAAAAAGATCACTCAGAATTGCTGAGAGGGGTCAGCAAGTGGCGTGGAATGCCTGAAAAAGTGGGACACATGGTTAATTACACAAACTAGCCAAGAGTTAAGCAAAAAACAAAAGCAATCTCTCTCTCTCTCTCTCTCTCTCTCCACCCCCCCCCCCCACTCTCCCTCCTGTCTGCATCTAGTTTGAAAATCTATCATTTGCAGCAACTTGGTTTTTTTTAACTTCTGAGCTCCCACAGTGCACTGGGCTGGGCTGTATCATTTATGGCCTCTCTTGACTGGCTGAGTCCAGCTTGCTAAATGAATGTCTGGAACTAAGGGAAAAGAAAACCTTGTGGGGTGCCCCACATAGCCACTGGATATAGGCCCTAACCAAAAGCACACCACTGGGCTGCAGCTACCATGACCTCTCCAATATTTCCAGAGAATTACCATGAACTTTACTGGAAATGAGCTGCTTTGTCCAGTCAGAGCTCATTCTTTCAGGAAGCTTAGAATCCAGTGGATTTCACAACATTTGTAGCTTCTTGAGAAATGCAGAATGAATTTCCAAACCTTTCCTC